TCAGTTTGTGCCCATTGCCCCTTGTCCTGTTGCTGGGCACCACTGAAAAGAGCTTGGCCCCATCTTCCTGACACCCACCCTGCAGATATTTGTAAGCATTTATTAGGTCCCCTCGCAGCCTTCTCTTCTTCAGGCTGAACAAGCCCAGCTCCCTCAGCCTCTCCTCATAGGAGATGCTCCAGTCCCCTCATCATCCTTGTAGCCCTCCGCTGGACTCTCCAGTAGCTCCTCATCTTTCTTTCTCCCCAGAGCCCAGAAATGGACACAGTACTCCAGGTGAGGCCTCACCAGGGCAGTGTAGAGGGGAAGGAGAACCTCCCTCGACCTGCTGGCCACACTCCTCTTAATGCACCCCAGAATGCCACTGGCCTTCTTGGCAGCCAGGGCACACTGCTGGCTCATGGTTAACCTGTCATCCACCAGGACACCCAGGTCCCTCTCTGCAGAGCTGCTCTCCAGCAGGTCCGCCCCAAGCCTGTACTGATGCATGATCCACTACTTCATCCTATGTATATTGCTCTAATGATTTTGGCAGACATCTGGGGAGGCTGTAGGGTGTATCTTCTGAAGCAATTTTGGCATTTAGCGTAAGAATTGCAAAACCAAACCCTCACAAAATCCTGGCTGTTAAACAACAAACAAGCATTATATAAACAGCCATCTGTTCCAATGATAGGCAGCTGGTCTTTCCCCAGCACTTGAAAAAAAAGCCAGTGGAAAAATATTCTGTGCTACAAGAGTCCCTTGGCCTCCCTTCTATCTGGGCTCCTCCAGTTACAACTTGGAATCAAAGCCTGAAATGTTTTTCCACAGAAAGTTTATTACTAAGCTACATTTTTGTGTTTATCTTACAACTATCCTTCAGTTTGGAAGGTAACTGAATACTAGAAGAGCTGCTAGTGAAGGAAGAATTCGAATACACATTTTACTTTTCAGGCACAGTTTTAAAGCTCTATCATTGCTATTACTTGGGGACAATGAGAAAGTGTGACTTTCTGTTATAGTCACTTTAATCTCTGCTACTCTTTTGTATAGGATTTTGGAGAAGTCAAAAAGGAAAAGCTAAAAGTTTTCTAGCCATCCTGGCACAAACACTTGTTTAAATGTTAAGAGGTTTCATTACCTCATATAATTCATGATCTAAGGTTTCCACTATGACACTTTCACCCGACTGGTCAACGCGGACAACTGGCTTCCTCAGCTTCACCCGGCTTCCCAGGCGCTCCATTATCTTTTCACTGATTTGGCCAGAGCCCCCAACAAACTTCCTCTCCTGAAACACAGAAAACGACAACTCAGCAAAGCAGATGCAGCAGCGATGCACGTGAAGCAGGTACCATGACAAACATAGTGCTTAGCATTCAAAACAAATCCCGTTCTTCTGTTGTTATTGGTTGTGGTTTAACCCGTCAGCCAGGAGCAGACAGCCGCTCGCCCACTCCCCACCTCCAGCAGTGGGATAGGAAAGAGAATGGACAAAAAGTAAAACTTGTGGGTTCAGATAAAAACACTTTAATAAGACAATAAAGGAAGGAAGAATAATAATAAATAATATGCAAAACAAGCAATACACAATACAGTTTTTCTCACTGCCCGATGACCAATCGTGCAGCCCATCTCCGAGCAGCTATTGCAGAACTCGTGGATTTTGCAGAACTCGGGGAGTTCCCGCTGCCTGGCCAACCCCCCTTTATAAACTGAGCATGGTGTCTATGGTATGGAACATCTCCACTGGCAGAGCCTGGCTATCTGCGTGGCTCTGCTCCCTCCCAGCTCCTGCACACCTGCTCATTAGCCAAACACGGGAAACTGAAAAGTCCTCGATTTCTTAGCAACAACTGAAAACCATCAGTGTATTATCAACGTTCTTCTCATTACTAAATCCAAAATACAGCAGCTACCAGGAAGAAACTTAACTCTATCTCAGCTGAAACCAGGACAGTACCAAACCTTTTTAGGAATGTTCAGCAGTGTCTCTTGGTAAATATATTCACGTTCCTTTCTCTTTCAGTGAACTCCTCAAATACTTTCCATATTTGACCACCAGCCAAAACTGCAAGAATCAGTAACCTCATGAGGAAATCCCTTCTCATGCGGTCTCCAAATGGATTCCACAGACCTATGTGAATCAGCAAGACTTCTGAAAAGCACTTAAATTTTTAAACTTTTCTCTGAGTTCACTCTCATCCCTGCAGAGGTCTGTGCATCAGAAGTAAGAACCCTGATCCTTGTAATAAATAAGAAGGCATAAGAAGTGACATAGCTCACACCAAAAATGTATCCTGCAGTATGTAATCTAACCTAAGTTAAATTCAAATCACCTCTAACATAACACAGCACTGAAATAATATTTCATGCAATGTATATACCTTTAAATTATCCATAATTAATGCTTATCTATGCATATTTATGCATTTTAACATGTTTTAATGTATTCTTTGTAATTTTAGTTATTTATTTATTATTAAATAATTTTCATTTCTAAAATACAATTACTTCTAGTATAATTAGTAAAATCTTCATTTCTCAAGTGGAAAACCATCAACAGAAGCTTTATTGTCTTGAAATACAGAAGCAGCAATAATATACCAGATTTCAAACATTTCAGAGCAATACCATATTTAAACAGTGGTGTTCATTTTCTTCAGAACAATTTAAAAATCTTAATGGTTTTAATCCTGGGAGCTAGCGTCTTTCGGAACCCAGTTCTGGGCTACATTTTCAGTATTAACTTGGAGCACCGTACACACACCCTCCTGCAGCTAGCATTGCCATCCCCATTAAGTGCTTTTGAAGTGGTAAGGCTTGCTTCAGCCTCATGACACAAAGAAGAGTAAGTAATACTTTAAACAGAGAAAGTGGAAAAGCAAAGTACGTTGTTCCAACCAGAGCCCAACAGGAAGCCAGAGGCAGGAACTGACAGAAATCTCCTGGTCCCTTGGCCAACACCTTTGGCACAGGAATAGCCTTCAACATTAGTTTTGCAAGATCCATATTAATGGGTAAACGAATAGAACTACTTATCAATGTGCTACTGGTTTAAAATCATGGACGTCTCAGTTGGCCCTCTGAACTAAAATAAACAAGCAAAACAATGAAGTTAAAACAGGGCCTGTCATGAGCCGCAGAAGGTGATGCCTGACAGTACCTGCCCTCCATTGCTTGTTGCGAATATTCTCGTTGTCCCTCCACACTGCTTCACGTACCACAAAAACCACAGGGCAGAGACCTCGTGGGGTTCAGAAGTGACATCCACATTCACAAAGAGAGTTGCGAAACTCTTGGCAGCACTGCAGCAAAGACAAGAGAGTTAATTTAAAAACAGAGGAAGGGTGACACTCTCGTTCTTTAGAAGGGCAGAAACTGTCTTTGGCAACCTTTTCTTTCACCGAGGGCAAAGGATTCCTTAATTTCAGTTGAAATATGAAATAATATCCACTCCTTTTATGCAATATTTTTCAAGTAACCCTGCAAAAAAATGTTAATCAAGCACTGCTTATTCCAGCAAAATTAGGGCTCCAGGAGGCACCAGACACAATGAAAGTGCACCTCACTTTATGCTACTAATACAAAGTTAGCTTGTCACCCTAGACTCAGGATTAAGAAAACCCTCCTGTCTTCACTGGACTCCAAAACCACCATGTCCTCCCATGATTCCTGGGTTACGTCCAAGAGCTGCAGCCCTGTCTGCACTTGCTGAATGCCTGTCCCTGCAGCAAACAGCATAGAGGTTATTCAACACTTGTCATACAAAAGTTAGAGGTCTTGTCCAAGCTAATTATCTAAACTCTCTGGATTGGTCAGCATCCCCTCACTGCCCACTCCTCTGCTGTGCTCAGGGAGGTGCTGCAGCTGGAACACAACAACGAAAGAAAGCTAAGTAGTAAGCCATAAGTGAAGAGACAGCATATACAGATTCATGCAAAAGTCTAGCAAGAAAAGGGAAAGGGTAATCTTGGTTGCTCAACTAAGTATTTTAAATGGTGGTCTGGTGGCCAGGGCTGATGTACAAAGAAGTGGAAAAGTGGCCTGTATCTGAAGGAGGATCACTGCTTTATGTCCTCTAGTTGGTGCTTTTGTAATAGCTCTACTGGAAGTTACTGTATAAACCTGTACAAGATTTTGGGGTACACTAAGACAGAGTTAATTAAGGCTCAGGGAAACATTCGTCCTGTTACAGGTAAAGGCTTCCTCTGCCCTCCCTCTAAGAAGTTTAAAGGGACATGGACAGGACTAGGAGATGCTCAGCTTAACTGCATTGTGAGTGACAGGGACTGAGTTTCTATAGGTATTTCATATGCCAGGCATCAGGCAATGAATAACTTCCATAGCCAATACAGAATCTACTTTTAGTTGCTTCTTCTTTTTACAGTGTTCAAACTTAAAAAAAAAAGCATAACTCAACCACACTATTTCAAACTCAGTTATAAATCTACATAGAAAAAAGGCATCTTCTGACCCTTCTAAAAATGCAAAGTCCTGCTGGAATAAAAGGCTGATCCGTT